TCCCCCCCCCCCCCCCCGCTGAAAACAAATGCAACAGAGAGGACACGATCGTTGCCTCTCATAGTCCTTGTAAGGGTTAAAGTAGAAAAGGTGGGCGAGGCCCTGGGAGCTGTGGACGCCTGCAGCCCAAGCACCCAGGGAGCTGGTGGGAGCTGCACAAGTTGGTGTATCACTCACTGGAGTCAAGAGGACCACGCACCTTGGGGTGCCATGGGGCACCTGGGGGTTCTAAGCAGGACGGCGTCAGAAGCTATTCTAGGCTTTGGGCTCTGGTTGGGAGGTTTCGGGGGGATTAAGGAAGATGGGCCCACTCAACAGTGGATGTTGTCAGAAAGGGCGAGGAGGAGGAGGAGAAAGGTGTGTTGGCGAAGAAGTGCCGGCACTCATGCCAGCCAACGGGAGGAGGCGTTCAGTCATTTGGGACACGGTGAACTTGTCTTTGACTGCGTTCAGGTGAAGTTCTGAAGGGGACTTGCCTTATCTTGTTTCCTCGAGATCTCCGAGTGCTCTTGTCTGAGGTGGTGATCCTGTGAGGTTGTTCAGTCCACAGCAGAATGACAGTGTGGCCTTTTTTTTGCGGGGGGGGGCTGTCTTTTGTGTCCTCTGTCTCAGAACACATTGGACACACTAAGTCCTCAGTCAGTGTTAGGGATGGTGCTGCTTCGTGGACATTAACTGGAGGAGGAGGCAGGAGAAGGAGGAGGGGGAGTGGGAGGAGGGGGAGAGGGAGGAGGAGAGGGAGAAGGAGGAGGGGAGAAGAAGGAGGAGAGGAAGAGGGAGGGAAGAAGGAGAGGAAGAGGGAGGGGGAGGGAAGGAGGAGAGGGAGAAGGAGGAGGGGAAGGCAAAGAGGAGAGGGAGAGGGAGGAGGGCGAGGGGAGGAGGAGTGGGGGGAGGATCAAGTGGTAAAAATGGCCATGCTTGGCCGAGGTGTGATGTGATAACAAGGTAACGTGCAAGGCCTGAAGAAGACGTGTGAGGATGTGGCTGTGTCCAGCAATTATCAGTGTGTGAAAAGGTAAAGGATCATTTCTGGGGGCACCAGGGTCTGAAATTGCTTCTTTTGTAAAATTTGTATTTTATTTTTTATTTTTTAATCCTCACCCGAGGAGTGAGGATATTTTTTTCCATGGATTTTTAGAGAGAATGAAAAGGAGGGGGGAGAGGGAGAGAGAGAAACATCCACGTGAGAGAGACACATCACTTGGCTGCCTCCCGAATGGGCCCCTACCGACCAGGGCCGGGGACTGAACCTGCAACCGAAGTACTTGCCCTTGACTGGGAGTCGGACCTGCGACCCTTCGGTCCATGGGCCGACGCTGTAACCACTGAGCAACCCGGCCAGGGCGAGAAATGGCTTCTTCCCAGGAACCAGGCGGCGCTGGACGGGAGTCCAGGCTGCACGCGTTTGTCACCGAGCGGACAGTGTTTCAGGGAGAGCATCTCTGTGTTCTTTCACCTGTAAAATGAGGAGCCTGCTGTGGGGCGTAAGGAGAGGAGAGATAAGAGGTTTTAAGGATTAGCCGCTGTGACTAGACAAAGCAGGACACAGCGCGACCCTGCCCTGCGCAGGGGGAGGCCCCGGTGGTGGCAGCACCTCTTTAAAAGAGTTTCGGGGCCCTGGCCCGCGGCGGCTCAGTTGGTTGGAGCATCGTCCGGTACAGCCAAAGGTTTCAGGTTTGATTCCCACTTGGGCGTGAGGGAGACAACCCATCAATGTTTCTCTCTCTCTCTCTCCCTCCTCCTCTCTTTCTAAAATCAATAAAAACGTATTCTCCGATGAGGATAAAAAAAAAAAGAGTTTGGGGGTGAGAAACAGCGCCCCCCAAAGGCAGGGTTATTTTAGACCAGTGGTTCTCAACCTTGGCTGCACATGAGAATCACCTGGGAATCTTTTTAAAATCCTGATTTCTGGGCCTCATCCTCCGGAAATTCTGTTTCTTTGTGATGGGGTGGGGCCACAACATTAGTAACAAAGAAACAGGATTTCCGGAGGAGGAGGCCCAGAAATCAGGATTTTAAAAAGATTCCCAGGTGATTCTCATGTGCAGCCAAGGTTGAGGACCACTGTTTTAGAGGCTCAGTTTCTGGAGTCCGAGGACCTGGACTGCTTCCGAGTCCGGTGGCTTTGAACAAGTGACTTCCCTCTCCCAGCCTCCCTTTCTGCATTTACAAACTGGAGATCACCGTTAACAACACATCACCTCTAAATGCAACAGATAATAAGCCCTGACCGGTTTGGCTCAGTGGATAGAGCGTCAGCCTGCGGACTCAAGGGTCCCAGGTTCGATTCCGGTCAAGGGCATGTACCTTGGTTGTGGGCACATCCCCAGTAGGGGGTGTGCAGGAGGCAGCTGATGGATGCTTCTCTCTCATCGATGTTTCTGATTCTCTATCCCTCTCCCTTCCTCTCTGTAAGAAATCAATAAAATATATTAAAAAAAAAAGTTTAAATGCAACAGATAATAAGACCGACCTTCCAGGGCCATTGCAAGCTTTGGTTTCCTGGAGACAATTAGCATAAGGCACTACAACTAATATAACATTGTATGTCAGCTATCACTGAATTCCTTTTTAAATTTTAAATGTTGACATCTCGTTAGCTGCTTTCTGATGAGCAGGGCCACGATCAGCTAACACGAATCCACACTCACCACACAGCAGCTCCCAGCTAGCGTCTGGCGCAAACCGTAAATGAGTAACGTTTTCTCGAAGGTAAAGAAAGTGAGGCACTTTCGTTAAGTCACGTGCACGGTGACAGCTAAGTGACGTTCCAAGGTGGTATCAGTACTGTGTGCGGATCACAGTCTCAGAAGTCAGACTTCTTGAGTCCGACCTAGTTCCCACCCGTCAGGGGTCACATACATTCCAGGGGCTCTCAGTGGCCTGTGTCCTCTCCTCCCACCTGGCAACCTTGGGGGAGGGAAGGAGAAGAGAGCTCTGTTATAATTTCTCCCTCCATCGGGCTGTGGCAAGGGAAACCAAGGACAATGATTGGAACATAGGAACGGCCAATTAAAGATCGGCTGATGTTATTGGATAAAACAGCTTCATATTTCCTGGCTCGTCTTGAACCCGGTCTAACCTGGCTTTATGGTGGGGATGCTACCAAGATACCCCCTGAGCCCTGGCTGATATGGCTCAATGGGTTGGGCGCCGGCCCATGCATGGAAGGGTTGCTGGTTGGATTCTCAGTCAGGGCACATGCCTGGGTCTGGGGCTCGATCCCGAGTAAGAGGAGGATCGAGCGGGTCCAAGAGGCGATGGAAGGCAGCGGGCTACGGGATCTGGGAATGTTTCATTCTCACATCGGCGTTTCTCTCCTTCTCCCTTCCTCTCTCTCTAAAAATCAATTTTAAAATAATAATAATAATAATAATAATAATAAAAAGACGCTGGGGAATGATAAAAGAGCAAACTTTTCTAGGACACAAAACAGAATAACCGAGACTTCTGGGAATAGTTAGTGCTCTCACTCTGAACTGATAGGTTGTTTGTCTGAAATGTTGACATGTGGCGAAAAGCTAAGATGGTCCCTCTCATGCTCAGACTTATGGAATTTCAACCGGCGGGGGGAAGTTGAGTGGCACGGGAGTTACTCGAAGAAAAAAATCAGACTCAGGCTGAATGAATGGGCTGTGTCTGGGGTGTCCCTTCATCAATGAGAAGTAATCATAAGTCATCCAAAATGTGATAGCCAAGGTTGTTCCGCAACAGGAGAGCAGTTGGTTATATGAACTTCAAGGTACTTTAACAGTCTCAGAATGACTCGAGTATTTTTGGAGAGGGTCTAAATTTTGCCCATTTTTTTTCTCTTTCAGAATTGAATATCCATTTCCATCCTCCAGCTCCAGGTGGGAATACATTTCTTTATTTGTTAGCATCTGAAATGTTAGGCCCCCTCCCCACTCCCACCCCCCCTGTGCCTGTGAAACAGTATCATATTCCTGAAAGTTCCTTGCACTTACCCGCTGTTTTACTCTTTCCTTTGCTTTTTTCCTGGCACAAAAGGCCCTCCCTGGTCATGGCAGCCAAACCCTGTATTTCAAGATCCATTTCAGCCAGCCTTCCCAGATGACCTCCCCCACCCTTTTTCTATGGTACTAACATCAGCATTTGTGGGTCTTGTTGTTTGTTTGGTTGTTACGTTTAACAACCTATTCTATGTAGAGGTATAACCCATATACCATAATATTCACCCATTTTAATATATCATTTACTGATTTTTAATAAATGTTCAGAGTGGTGTAAACATCACCTCAATTCAACTCTAGAATATGTCCATCACCCCAGACAGTGGTCGGCAAACTCATTAGTCAACAGAGCCAAATATCAACAGTACAACGATTGGAATTTCTTTTGAGAGCCAAATTTTTTAAACTTAAACTATATAGGTGGGTACATTGTTATTAACTTAATTAGGGTACTCCTAAGGCTTAGGAAGAGCCACACTCAAGGGGCCAAAGAGCCGCATGTGGCTCGCGAGCCACAGTTTGCCGACCAAGGCCCCACAAGATCCCTGTGTTCATTTGCTGTCACCCCTACTCCCATTCCCACCAACCACTAATCTGCTTTCTCTTTAGCTTGGTCTTTTCTGGACATTTCAGATGCATGTGACCTTTTGTATCTGTTTTTTTTTAAGTTAAAAAGTTAATCATGAAGCTCATCTGGATTCACCGTTAGATAACTATGCCTCAGTGTCTCCATTCTTGGACGAGAGGAACCATATGCACATGTAGACAGCTGGTGCTCAGTTGTAACCTGTAGCTCTCATGGAGTTGGGAGTTTTAAGAGAGAAATGCAGATGTGGGAGCACTTTATGGGGATAGTCAAGCCAGTGAAAGGGTTACAGATATGTTGGTTGGTTTTTAAAACTATTTCAATCAGCAGTTACTTGTTCGGGGGTTTGGCCAACATGGCCTAGAGTATATGGTGGGGAACCGTAGCCCTTCAGCTCTCTTGCTTTTGGCGTCAGAAGGAAGCTATTTCCAGAGCAGCGGACAGCAGGGTTGCTCTGCGTGCAGGGAACACAGGCTGAGGACCAAAGTGGGCCTGGGGAGGAGCCCAATGACGGTACCCAAGTCATTGGACTGAAGTAAGGAAATCATTAAGCGCTGGCGTTTGTAAATCACGCAGAACACTATGTTCAGCAGCACAGGGCAGGCTATAAAATAGCTTCTCATACGAATGACAGTCCATTAATCATGAGCATGGTAATAACTAATGCTAATAAAGTTGTTATACTACTCTATATAATAAAAGCCTAAGCAACCACTAGGGTGGAACAACCGGTTGCTATGATGCGCACTGACCACCAGGGGCAGATGCTCAACACAGGAGCTGCCCCCTGGTGGTCAGTGCGCTCCAGGGGGAGCAGCGGCTGCTCAGCCAGAAGACGGGCTCATGGCTGGCGAGTGCAGCAGCAGTGGCGGGAACCTCTCCCGCCTCCACTGCAGGCAGGCGGTAAGGAGCGAGGGGTCCCCGCCTCCATGGCAGCGCTAAGGAGCAGCAAGCCAAGTGGTAAGGAGCGAGGGATCCCGGATTGTGAGAGGGATGTCCGACTGCCAGCTTAGGCCTGATCCCCAGGGGTATCGAGCCTAAGCCGGCAGGTGGCCATCCCCCTAGGAGTCCTGGTCCGTGAGAGGGCACAGGCTGGGCTGAGAGACTCCCTCCACCGCCCCCCCCCGCCCCCGTGCATGAATTTGGTGCATCGGGCCTCTGGTTTTAAATATTAAATGATAAACATAACAATATAGTTAAATAGTAAAATAATAAAAGTTCTGACATAATTGTTAAAATAATAATGTAATTATTGTTAAATAGTAAATATAGATCATGTATATTGATAAAGAATAAATAATTGCTAAATAGTAAAAAATAAATAAATGAATCTTGCATCGAAATTATTTCAGGCTTATTATGAAAGACCAACCAATACTGATTAAGTTTCTGTTCTGTGCCAGCTCCTATCAGTTGATAATATGGGTCTAGCTTTGAACAGGAAACCTGTGGTCATTCCTGACAAACGAGAGAGACCCTGAACAGATCACTACACGTCAAATAAATGAAAAAAAGGGGCACCAACACACAAGTTCAGTACAAGTAGATCTAGCATAGTGTGAACGTTCAAGGAGGTTTCATGGAGATTCACCTACAGGCTAAATGGGAGCAGGAAGGGGCGTGGCCTTCCCAGCTCCCAGAGCGGATCACAGGTGGTCAGGGTGAGGCTGGAGGTGTTTGGGGAACCAGATCAAGAGGGAATCCTAGCCATGTCAATGCCAATTCTTGCCTTGAGAGCAATAAGTCGCTGGCAAGGTCAGGTTAGAACCTTCAGAAAGAACATTCTCGCGAAGAACGATGGGAGGAAAGGTTGGGAGTGTCCAGGAATAATAACCTGTTGCCGTGGTCAAGGCAGAGGCGCAATGCTCGCTGGTGACCAATGGCGCGCAGGGAAGCGAATCACCGTGCGCGATGCGTAGGGGTAGCCACCTTCAGGAGGCGGAGAGATTTCTTTTCCTAGGAGAGGGGGAAGGGGGACCATAAGAAAGACCAGAATTTCAGGTTAGCAGACGGGTGTCCAGTCTCGGGGGCGACTTGCCTGCGACGGAAGCCACCTGCTCCAGGCGGCTCCCCGCTGCGGGATGAGGTCAGGCCTCCTCTGACCCACGTACCTTCTGTGCCGCGCACACGGGAGGGCGCCAGGGACCGGCCACGTGGATGTGGGGGCAGCGGAACGGCCACTCGTCTCGTAAGCGGGACCCCGTTGGCCATGTTCCCCTCTGTCCCAGAATATTTCAAGGCGCCCTGTGTCTTCCCATTTACGTACGATGACCTGACCTACTACAGCTGCATCTCCGTGCACAGCGATTACGCCTGGTGCTCACTGGACGAGAGATTCCACGGCAGGTGGCGCTACTGCACGGCCAAAGGTGAGCGTCCCTCCCGGCAGCTGTCGCGATGCCTCGGGTCCAAGAGGCGATGGAAGGCGATCTGGGGTGTTGGATACAATGAGGTCGGATCCTGGCTTCTCTACTTGCTCTCACCACTTGGAAAGCAGTTGGGTGCGGGAGGGGAAGCCGGCGCTGTTCGTCTCACAATGGTCAGCCATACGACTTCCTTTTATGATTATTATTTCTTAATCCGCACCCGAGGATATTTTTTTCCATTGATTTGTTAAAAAGAGAAACACGTGGTTTTTTTTTTGAAAAAAAAATATTTTTATTGATTTCAGGGAGAGGGAGAGAGAGATAGTAACATCCATGATGAGAGAGACTAATATTGATCGGCTGCCTCCTGCACGCCCCCTACTGGGGATCGATTCCGCAACCCGGGCATGCGCCCTTGACTGGAATCGAACCCCGGACCCTTCAGTCCATAGGCTGATGCTCTATCCACTGAACCAAACCAGCTAGGGCTTTCCATTGATTTTTATTTTTATTTTTTTTTAGAGAAAGTGGAGGGGAGGGAGGAGGGGGGAGAGAGAGCGAAACATTGATGTGAGAGACACACATGCATGGGTTGCCTCCCGCACACAGCCTGGAACCGAGGTGTGTGCCCTTGATCAGGAATCGAACCCCTGAGCCTTTGGTCCCCGGGCTAACGCTCTAACCACTGAGCAACTGGTCCAGGCAACCTTGAGACTCTCTATGTTCATGTTTCTCCTCCTGCTTCTCCCTCTCTCTGCAGACCCCCCCATGTGTACCTTCCCCTTCCGCTTCAGGGATAGACTCTTTCAGACGTGCACCAAGGTAGGCTACATTTTTAATCGGACGTGGTGCTCGCTGACCAGTAATTACGATGCAGATGGAAAATGGAAGCAGTGTTCTCCTTACAAGTACGTTGGCTGGGGAAGGATGGAGTGTGAGTGTGTGTGTGTGGGGGGTGGTCTTAGACATCTCTTAAAGTGGGGAACCCTCTGGATTGATGGAGAGGGAAGTTGAGGTCTAGATGATCTGCTGATGGCTCAGGCCAGGGGTCAGCAAACGTTGCCGTAAGGGTCCAATAGTAAGTCATTCCGGCTTCGAAGGCCGTATGGTCTCTCACATACTCAACTCTGCCTTGTGGCACAAAAGCAGCCACAGCGTTAAAAACAAATAAACAAACAAAAACAACAGCAACAACAAAAAAAACCCTGGCCGGAGTGCTCAGTGGTTAGAGTGTTGGCCGAAGGGTCTTGGGTTCAAGTCCGGTCAAGGGCACGTACCTGGGTTGCAGGTTCCCCGCAGGAGGCAACCAATCGATATGGGTCTCTCATTCAGTGTTTCTCTCTCTCCTCTTTCCCTTTCCCCACTCCCTTCTACGCCCTAAAATCAATGGAAAAAAAAATAGCCTCCAGTGAGGCATAACCAAAAAAACCCCAACAAAACAAATAAACATGACTGTGTGCCAATACAACTGTATCAATAGACCCTGACATTTAAATCTCATGTCATTTTCAGGTCTCACAACCTATTTCTTGTCTTTTATTTCTGTTTTTGTCAACCATTTGAAAATGAGAAAACCCTTAGTTCATGGGCCATACAAAAACGTATGGGGTGCGGGTTGCATTTGGCCTCTGGGCTCCAGTTTGCTGGCCCCTGATTTGAATGATCTGTCCTTGACCCCACACATTGCCCCTCACCCTTGCATTTTCCCTTTTCTCTCTCCCTTTGCCCCCCTCCCCCTTACTTTCCCAATTTTTTAAAAAATAAAAAGAGATTTAAGAATATATTTTCTTATTGACTTCAAAGAGGAAGGGAGAGGGAGAGAGAGATAGAAACGTCAATGATGAGAGAGAATCATGGATCGGCTGCCTCCTGCACATACCACATTGGGGACTGAGCTTGCAACCCGGGCGTGTGCTCTGACCAGGAATCGAACCGTGACCTTCTGGTTCATAGGTCAACACTCAACCACTGAGCCATGCTGGCTGGGCAATAAAAAGAGATTTAAGATGGAGTGCATGGCCATATAAAATTAAACTTAGTATTAATTAGAAGAAGGTGATGTATGGGACGATGCTCACAGTCAGGGCTTGGAAGGGATGAGTGGACGCAGGACGGAGCCTTCCCTGAAACTAACGGACTAGAACAGAACACAGAGCCTCTGTACCTGCTGCAGGTGAGCAGGATTTGGGCGACCTTGACTCTCTTTGTCCATAAACAGCCCTTCCCTCCACCCAGCAATTTCCGTTCTATGATATATACCATAGAAAACCTTGGACAACTGCACAAATATGTATGTAAGACGATGGCCATCACAGTGACCAAAAAAGTTAGTACAGCCATCTATACTAATAAAAGAATAATATGCTAATTAGACCAGGTCTACCGGACATCTACTGGTCATCTTCCCTTTCTTCCAGACAAAGCCACGGTGACTGGGGGCCGAGGCAGAGGCAGTTAGGGGCGATCAGGCCAGCAGGGGAGGGCAGTTAGGGGTGATCAGGCAGGCAGGCAGGTGAGCAGTTAGGAGCCAGCGGTCCCAGATGGGATTGCGAGAGGGATGTCCAACTGCCAGTTTAGGCCCAATCCCCTTTGTCCTGTGGCTTGATCTTCATGATGGAGAATTTTCCACGTGAAGACATAAATCTACACCACCTTTCTGCATGCTTTCCTAAAACTTCAAAATATGGATATACTCTTCCCCAAGTAAAGCATAATTGGATGGCTTTTAATATTTTGCTATGACCGTGACCAAATGGGTACCTTCTACATTGACTTTTGAGTAAGTGTGTGAGGGTGTTTTTGTGGTATTATTAGATTATCTGAGTGAAGTCACTGGGTCAGTGGATGCGTACATGTCAAGTGTGTGTGTGTTAAACTTTTTTATTCTAAATTATCCTCAGTAAACATATGAGACTGCCCATTTTTAACAACTTCCTTAACACTGAAAATCATCAATTTAATAAATTTGCTCCAAGTATAGACTACATAGCTTATATTAAAGTAATCAATTAAAATAATCAAGTAGCCTGGCCAACATGGCTCAGTGGTTGAGCATCGACCTATGAACCAGGAGGTCACGGTTCAATTACCAGTCAGGGCATATGCCAGGGTTTCAGGCTCGATCCCCAGTAGGGGGCATGCAGGAGGCAGCCGATCAATGAGTCTTTCTCATCATTGATGTTTCTATCTCTCTCTCCAGCTCCCATCCTCTCTGAAATCAGTAAAAATATATTTTAAAAAATAACCAAGGACTAAAATAATCAATAATGGCATACTGTGCTTGAGAGTGAGAGAGAAATGCTTCCACCCATCCTTAGGCCACTGACCTCTAACGCCCTTCCACCTCCCCCATTCCACATGCCCATGTTAGTTCTTGGGGGTAGACCAGATCTCCCATCGGGGAGAGGTTATCCAGGAAGATGGAGATGGATCCTGACCCTCACCTCTGCTTTTCTTCCACAGTTTATAGTAAGTCTTGGTGTTCACGAACGGACAGAAGTTAGAGGATTCATCCGCTGCCTCTCAAAATGGATCTTTTCCCGGATCATTCTGACCAATAAAGATTTGATCCCTCTCCCACGTGGATGACTCCCTCTCTGAAACCAGGCACAGCTGAAGCTCTGTGGTAACCAGTGCCTCCCTGGCCCTGGGGGCGGGGGACCAGCAGGGCGTCGGTGGGGGAAGAACTTGCATTCAAATCAAGGTCCTGAGGAATCGCTGACAGTATCCTCTGGCAAGTTAACTTCTCAGAGAAACTCCAGCTTCCCCTCATACAATTCTTGAAATTTTTAATTAAGTATAATGTACCCTTTTAATTGTTGGAGGTAAAATTCATGACGTACAATGAACTACTTTAAAGATAACAATGCAGTGGCATTGAGGACAGTTGCAAAGTTGTGCGAACATCACCTTTACTTCCAAAGGGTTCTCATCACACCCTGGCCGGGTAGAGCAGTTGGTTAGAGCATCGTCCCGATATGCCAAGGTTGTGGGTTTGATTCCCAGTCAGGGCACATAGCTAGGTTTCGGGTTCAATGTCGGGTCAATAGGGGCACATATGGGAGGCAATCAATTGATGACTCTCTCTCTCTCTCTCTCTCTCTCTCCTCCTTTCCCTCCCTCCCTCTCTCTAAAAAACCAATACCCTTGGGTGAGGATTAAAAAAAGAATCTATACTAATAAAAAGAGTAATATGCAAATTGACCAAATGACCAAACAGCAGAACGACCATCCTGATGACCATGCTATGACACCCACTGGCGCCAAGCCAGCCAAGGCAGGTGCAATGCGATTGGTTGGGGGCCTGGCCATCGCCCCATGATCACCCTGCAGAGGGAGGCCCAGGCCACAGGCCAGCTGGGCGATTGATCAATTGAGGGGCTCCCGGATTGCCCCAAAGAGGGAGGCCCAGGCTATCCCATGGTGGTGCTGCAACAGGTGGGTGGGGCCTCCCTCTGTGGGGGCGATCCATCGCAGACCTCTGGCCGGGTGGGCAGGGCCTACCTCTTCAAAGCAATCGATCCTGGGGCTCCTGTACTGTGAGAGGGCACAGGCCAGGCTGAGGGACTCCCCCCGCCCCAAGTGCATGAATTTCGTGCACTGGGCCTCTAGTAAATAAATAAAATAATAACACTAGAATAAACTCTGTTTCATGAACTCACAACTGTAAACCTACTTTTGCCCACCCTGTAGATAACATACACACAACACACACATTACAGACACTCAGGATTTTCACATACAACACAGAAAACACCACATGTTGTACATACAACACCCTCCACACAGGCACACAACTGACACACAAGAAGACACACATCCAGTGTGTCCACAGACTACACACACAGCCATATGCATAACACATACAATACCACAGACAACATACACTCATGTACAGAAAAAACCTATGACAGTACACACCCACACACATGCGTATGTACAACACCCATACCTCACAGTTGCAGGACGTATACACACCACACACACATGTACAACAGACACACCTCACACACACAAAACACATCCGCACACTCCATACACACAAAATCCATAATATGTTCACATCATCATCACACAACACACGCTCATGCACAAAAGACTTGCACGTACCGCCCACACAATGCAGCCATATGCAAAGCACACACACACACACACACACACACACACACCACAACACGACACTTACATCCTTGGAAAGCCCTGAGGGCCCCGCCTGGGCAGGAGCCTGGGAAGGGCCCCTGCACCTTCCCCTCCTCTGTTGCACTCTCCTCTTTCCCCAGCTGTGGGTGATGAAAAAGGGTTAAGTACATGTGATTCCCGAGAGGCTGACCAAGCCCTGCATCATGTCCCCACACCTGGACCCCGTAGAGAACGCCAGCACCTGGCCCTGACCTACCAGCCAACCAGGAGGGGGCTGGAGTCCAGTGGTTACTGGACCGCAGCCCCTCCTGCCCAGCAAGCTCACACCTGGACCCCGTAGAGAACGCCAGCACCTGGCCCTAACCTGCCAGCCACCAGGAGGGGGCTGGAGTCCAGTGGTTACTGAGCCGCAGCCCCTCCTGCCCAGCAACTTCTGTGCTGTCGCTGACAGCAGGCCCCTGGTCATCTGTGACCTCTGGAGGTCAACACGGGCCCTCAGAGTGCGCGGTCTGAACCTGGGGCAGCTGGGCCTGAAGTGACCCCCTCAGGCTGGCCATCAGCTGTGAGTGACCCCGAGCCTGGACCTTCTCCCCTCCTCCCTCCCTCGCTTTTCGTCCTTCCTCTCACCATTCACTCACAGTGATTGACACCTGCTCTGTGCCAGGAACGTCTGGGCTCCGGCAAAGACCAAGCGCCTGTCCTCATGGAGCTTACGCTCCTCCCCTCCTCCCTCCCTCGCTTTTCGTCCTTCCTCTCGCCATTCACTCACAGTGATTGGCACCTGCTCTGTGCCAGGAACGTCTGGGCTTCAGCAAGACCAAGCACCTGTCCTCATGGAGCTTATGCTTGGGTGGGGGGGACAGACTTAGCAGCTAAGCAAGGGAGACACACGGTGTGACAATGGGGCCCAGGCGAAGAGGAACCGTGAGGCAGTGAGAGGGACAGGGAGGCGGGAGGGGAAGGTGTGCAGTCTTAGCTGGGGTGGTCAGGGGAGGCTTCCCTGAGGAGGTGGCATTTGTGCACAGATGGAGGGAGGCAGGGCATGAGCCGTGCAGGCAGCGAAGGGAAGCGTCCCGGGGCAGGGAGCAGGCTGAGCTTGGCATGTCAGAGGCCCGAGGAGGCCAAGTGCCCAGAGAGGTGCATTAGGGGGGAGTGGAACAGAGAGGTTGGAGGTGACAGGCTGGGGCAGCGCGCAGGGCCCCGGGGGCCATGGTGAGGCGCCGGGAACCACAGAGGCTCTGGGCAGAGGAGCGACTGGACTAGACAAGTTTCACGGTCCCCTGGCCCTTGTCTACAGAGTGGAAGCAGGGGAGAGGGAGGAGGCTGTAGAGAGAGTTCTTGTCCGGGTCCTTGGAGAGCAGACGCCGAGGTGGGGTTAAATGAGATTATACACCAAGGACTTCATCAGGGGAGACGCTCCTGTGAGAACAAGCAGAGAAGGAACCGGGAAGGCTGGGAGAGCCATGGGCTGAGACCCCGAGGGAGAGAGAGGGAGGAGGCTGGGTGGAAGCCTGTGGACCACCATGTGGCCTAAGGGACATTGCCGAGGCTGTCAGAAGTCCCGCGTCTCCCAGGAAGGGGCCTGCCTCAGTTTCCCCAACACACTCAGGCATTGGCAGGGCGCAGCCCACGGGAGGGCTGGGAGTGGATTTCAGGGGACAGCTGCTGGGCTTATGGCTAAGTAAACTCCAGCCATTGGAGGCTGCAAGGCGCCCTCTGGTGGTGACCGAGCACAATGACCCATCAAGAGATGATGGGGTGGGCCGGGATGGCAACGGTGGGTGAGGAGAAGTGAGGGGACCACGGAGATATTCCGAGTATCAAACCCACAGGATTTGCTGCTGGTGGACATGAAGCAACAGAGAACGAGAGGAGTCAAGAACAAGCCCAAGGGTTTTAGCCTGAGCTACTCAAAGGCGACAGAATCCATGAACTGAGGTGAGAAGATTGAAGGAAGAGGTCTGCGCAGGGGCAGGAAGCAGGCCCACTTTTATGTGGTTACGTAGCAGGGAGAGACAAAGGGTTACATGCATCGATTTTTCTTCTCTTTCCTTCCTAGTTCAGTCATTAAACCAAAAAGATCTATTTTGTTCTCTCTCTGCTGATCCACGCGTGGGACACTTGGTGGTAGACAGCCATGGCTCTCAGAGCTCACAGCTACTCGGGGCGAGGAGAGCGAGCCTCCGGCAGGGAAAACACAGTGTCCTAAGTGCTGCTGGGGCAGGAGAGGATTTGGGGAACCCAAAGGCAGCCCCCCTCACCAGTCAGCGGGATGTGGGAAGGCTCATGGTGAGAGGTGGTGTCTACCATGAGGTCTGAAGGCCCAGTAAGTTCGTGAGGGAGAGCAGTCTTGGAGAGGAGCCTTCCAGAGAAGGAAGAGGATAGGGGGTGGCTTTGAGGCAAGAGGGAACATGAACTGAAGTAGGATTTTGCTCCTGGATTGAGAGTAGGTGGTGTGGAGGGTGAGTGGTGGGGCTGGAGGAGTCTGCAAGGGTGAGCTCATCAGGGAAGGGCTTTGTCCTAAGGATACTGGGGAGCCATGGGCGGTCCTCAGCAAGGGAGGAGGAGTGTCAAGGTCATCCTTGGAAAACCCCTCTGGCTGCTGTGTGGAGGGTTTGAGGCTGGGGGTAGGGAGACCAAGAAGAGAGCAGATGAGGCATCCTAGTGGCTGTGGGCTTAAGAGAAATGAACGGCTTCAAAGGATATTT